CCATTCATCATCCCAGTAATCTTGCGCTTCGTAGGCCTAACAGAAGAATTTCAATATTTCACTTGTGTTGACAAGGGCATCTGATATACTTGAAAATGTGTTATGAAAAAAGTTACTTGTTGTGAATTATGTTGTTGCTCTGCAGATACTCCCCAGCTATCTTGTTCAGCAGCACCAAGTTCAGTGTACGCATCAGGTAATGGTGGAGGAGGCATAGAAGGTGGCTGACTTCCATTGATTTCCTGGAAATAGTTATTGAATTAATTATGCAATATATATANNNNATATATATATATATATATATATATATATATATATATATATATATGTGTAACACTACTTTCAGAAACAAATATAAATCAATGTTACTAAAGGCTACAAAATTGTGCAATGTTCACACACACAATTACAACCAGAAAGCGGTGCTCTAGGGACTCAATTTATGGGCGTCTCTGCTTCACGTTCACTTTGTATTTTGAACCATACTACAATACATGCAATGGTTCAGGGAATGACTAGTACACAAGAGTTTGTGATCTACTGGTGTCTTCTTCTCTACACACAACCAAAACTGAACAATAGAGTGGCCTTTTTTTGCCTTCTTGAGGGAGAGGGAGAGGGGGGGGGGATGAATGTTTGGCCTGCAACTCACAATTTAATTGCTTCACAGCCTCTTGACGCTTAGTCCTCATGCCAGAGACACATTCAAGCTTTACTAGTGCCAATGTCATGGATACAAAATCAGATGTTCACAACTGCCTCGAGTAACATATTCAAATGCAATTTGACACAGACAAAGGAAACATGATTTGGGAATTAAATTCATTTTGTTTGATTCCGACTAAAGCTTTTTTGGCAATTTCTGCCCAGCTAAGATGAACCTCCTTAGATGTGACTACAACACTTGTGACTTCTGAGCTCCACACAATTAACTGCTGAAATTTATCACAATTATTAGAGCTGTACAAGGTCGGTGGAAATGTAGGTTGATACAAGCACTAATTGTACGTCTATAACAAAGTAATCTTGATTTTGCCTTCATAATCATTACACCGCTTAAACAAGTCATTCGTTTTTTAAGGTTTTGATCGACTTTAAGGCATTTCCAGTTTGCAGCTTACTGCTTGGAATAGTGGCTGCTTTATCTATGAAATTAGAGTAATGTGCTCTTCACCAGATTAATTTTTCCTTCACAATTTTAATGGCTGGAACTTGGCATCCTTGTTTGTAAATGCTCGTTACAGAATATAAATGAAAACATAAGCTCTCAGCCAGAAGTCTGCCATTACAAGGAACTTGTATTCTTCGGCCACTTTGTCAAATGGGTGTTGCTCAAAGTGGTTTGCTTTTCTACTACCAATCTTGGTATTGGATAGATCACTTAGCCATAAAACTCGTGAAGTTGAATTGACAAAGCCATTTCTGCATGAAACTATATGAAAAAGAAATCACTTGGATCTCTTGGCTTCCGAGGCCTTTATCATCCACACAGACGTCGCATCTTTCACACAATGTTAGTTGCATACACACGTTATTGATCTTAAAACATGAATGATTAGTGAAAATTTTAAAAAAATGTTTTTTGTGCTAGATTATTTCTTACATTATGTATGAATACAGTCTAAATTTAATATATGAATTTATTAACAGCACATCTGATTATTGTAGAAGAAATGTTGAACAATATAATTGAACTACTGAAGAAATCTTTCTTGCATCCTAAACTCAGCTGCAAGGACAAAAGGATTCAAGTGTAGCAATGTCATTTATTAAAATGTCTGCCACAAACTTTCTAAGAACTAAACAATACAAAATAAGTAATACCTAGAGAGAGAACAAATACATCTGCTCTTTTTACATAGAATGCCAAAATTTAAGAATTTGTTAAATGTAAGAAAAACGTGCTGTTTTCTTGAGGAGGGGGAGAGGGGATCAACTCCATGAAGAACTGTAATAAATCTAAATTTTCAAAATTTTAAGTAAACATATTTTGAAAATTAATTTGAATAAACAATCTGAACAATTTGGAGGAACAAGTCTTACCTGTTACATTTGATTTAAAAAACAACAACAATTTCTGGAGTTGGCCTTTTCTGTTTTCTATATTGCCTGATTTAAACACCCACAATTTATGAATGTGTACTCTCACAAATTTGCAGGTATACCATAGGTTTTTGCTACATCCTACTTTCTCAATAGATCTTTCTACTTCTCAGAGTATTTCAACTTTTCTCCACAAAGTTCAATTGCAGTACATCACATGCTTTAACACATCTAATACAAAATTATCTATAACTACAATATTCAATGACAACCAAGCTGTCTTTATTGCTTCACTGATAATCCTACCTCTTATCATATAATTTGTATTCTTGCAGTCCATATAGTTCAATAAGAGTTTGAAATTTCTTAGGCTCTTTTTTATTAGTCTACTAAATGCCAACTTCAAATCATCTGAATTTTCTTCAAAAACTTGAATTCAACATAATATGCTAATAGTAGAATTTTAAAGAAGTTAATGGGAAACATAATTCTCATTCAATTTTGAATTAACCAGAGTCCATAGTATTAGAAGAAGCCACTCTTCCACCCATCTATCTCAGGTTTTTTTTTTTGAAAGTGCATGGCAAATACACTTAAATCAAATTTCATGCATGTCCATAAAACAGCAGGAAGATATTATGTTTGTCATTCATATATCATTTTAATGAACATTTTTTAAAATGTTATCACAATTACAAACAATTCTTAAAAAGTAAACTAATGCAATAAACTAATTTCTTGAATATTTTGTATCACAAACTCAATGTCAATGATTTGAATTTTAACTTTCTACGAAACAATCCCCCCCCCCCCAAATATCCTTGTCATCACTTTAATGAATAATAAATTCTGATTTTCTCCAAGTAAATGCCCACCACTATCCTGTCATGCATGCACGTTTTTCACTGCTTTGTGTAGTTTTGAGCCCAATGATGTAGAACAAAGGTTAATTGTAAATAACCTAATAAATACATAACATCCAAACATTACAATTGTAAAACACATTGCTATACTTCTATTTGTCAAAAAATACAATTAGAATTCAAAGATACCTACCTCAACATAAGCAGCAGGAAATAAACCTGTCTGTCCAGCTTGATTACAACCTTCCCACCAACCATCACCCACATTTTGTCTGGTTAGTGTAAGGATTTCACCAGGAACAATCGATAATTCTGCTGTTCCTGGTTCACCAGTAAATTCATATATAGCTCGAACCTATGTCATAAAATAATCAAAATATATTAGAAACTCAAGATCAAGGGACATAGCTCTCTACGATTTTACACAACTTAACATAGGTAGCACACACAGAGAAACTGCCATCCAAAGAAAAAAATCACTGTCAAAATAAACCTTTTGAGTATATGTTTATGAAGTTTAGAAGTTTCGTGAAATTTCTAATCAGATTGCTCCTATCATGATTATATCAATTCTGCAATTCTCTTGTCAAACAGCCTTGAAAACCGATTACAATAATAATTTTATTTTAGCAAATTTAAATGTAATATTGTGACAAAAGGTATTGAAATTACTAGCACATTATTCTAAATATTGAATATCAAATAACAGGTAAACATGTAAAACTATTACTGACACAAATGTCGTGGGCAGCAACATATAACCAACAGAAAATCACGGGCCAAACATCTAAAATATAAAAAGTATCCGAGATGTTTACAAAAATAACTATTCGGCACGTCAACCAAAAACAATACAGCAGCGCAACAATCCCGTGCAACATGTCAAAAGAATGAATACATGACAACAAACTATCAATTTAAGAAACACATCGTGAAGTCATTATGATCACAACGTACGATTTGGTTGTTGGGAAAGAAAGGAACAATAAAATAAAGAACATTAATTAAAAAATTGAACTTATAATATTTCAAATGATAAATTAACTGCTTACGTATACCAAATGTCACACATATTGGTCCTCTTCATCTAACCAATTAAAAATAAAAACAAAAACACAAGTACAGTGAAATGTTCTCCCTCTACAACAATTGGTAAAAAAAATATTATTCCGAAAAATGCCACAAGGCAGATCTTACCACATCAACTCACCTGAACGCCCGCCATTTTAACATTGCATGTTGACACTGACGTCACATACCCTTACTCGAAATTCATGATTTCGCTTAGTTTTGACTACACCATGTTACACATTTCTCGATATAGTTGGCATTGACGGCTGCAGAGTGCAGTTCTAATTGACTTGTGCTGCTTCAGTGGTAGGATGGGTAACTTCTCTTCAACTGTCAAAGATGAAAAGTGACAGTATGGGTAAGATAGCGAATGAGTTATTTCCTCTAGATAATTGTATTTGTCCCAGTAAGAGTTATAGCACCAAGTTATTTCCCAGAATTCTTAAAGAAGGAAATGTGAAATTTAAAATTTTAATCGAAACTTCTGCTGAACCCGCTGTTAAGTTAAAAAAAAATAACCAAGTATTTATTTGTTGAGAAACGGCAAGGAAATATTGAGCGATGCCTCGCCAGATATTCTTCGTTTATAATCTCAGGAACAGTTCTTCCCGATTAATAATTTTTAAACAAATCGTGAATTTATCTGTTTTATCCATTTATTAAATTAAGTCGTGGGCATTAATACTTACAGGGTCTACAACTTCAGGGAAACAAATTACATTTATTTAAAGACAAGTTAATAAATTAGATGCATGTACATGTATTGTTGTGCAGAATTGTACTAAAACTAAAATACATGTGTTATGTCTTTTTGTTTATTGATAGAATCAATGAACATTGTTAAAATGAACGTAAGGGACCCAAAGTAAACCTGACATTTAATTCAGTTTGTTTGTAGTTCTTTGTTTCAGTATTTCTAAAAACATTGGAGAGGGAAATGCGTAGTTTCATAGAACGTTTTTTTACGAATGAGTTTTTTAAAGAATTGGTTTAATTATCATTTCTTTTAACAGCGTTATTTCGTTGCAATGCAATTGGAAGATTGGTAGCAATGAAACAATGATGGAGGTGAGACGTGCGTATAGAATACAGCTATCATAGGCTGTTGATTGCTGTTAATTTTCATTTTTGTTGCTGTGATAGCCGTTTTATTTCGGTGGACAAGATATGGGTGGGGTTATAGGTAGATTGGTGTTTGTTTTTTTGTTGTGAATCCACTTGGTGAACTTGTGGATTAGTTTAGGACTCCATGGATGATATGAATTTGGACGAGTGAGTAATCACTATATTTTAAGATAATAGAAGCGGTAATTTTTGTTTGTGAATACTTATTAATTTTTTTTAGAAATAAAACTGAAAAATGTTTAAGACTTTTGACACATGCATGGTTCGTACATATTTGCGTTTGGAAGGCCAAAGCAATGTTAATGTAATAATTCTCTCGGCTGGTTACCTTATATTGATGATTGGTCTCTATTTACTAGTTTCCTAGAAATATTTCTGTTGAACTTTTTGAACGTTTGCCAATTTATGTAATGGAGGTCTTACCTTTTGAGAATGCATAATGCTCTTATCTTGTAAAGGTACAAAGTTAATCCTATGTATTTTATTTAAGTAGGCTGAAACAACAATAACAATAATAATAATAATAATAATAATAATAATAATAATAATAATAATAATAATAATAATAATCTATATTCTTCAGTAATGTTTACTTATTCATCTCACAAGTTGTGTTGTTTTGATTCGTAAGATTCCTTTTAATTAGTTAACTTTCGTCAGTAAATTACCTCAGCTTAAAATAAATTTAATGATTAAGTTCTGTGTGAAGTATAGGAGGACGATTTCTGTGAATTTCTTATAACGTTTCATTTTTAATTGTAAATGATTTACAAAAGTGTGTGAAATTACTAATTAGGAAATGTAAATACAGAAAAGAACTATAATATGTTTTGATTAAAACTTTTCATTTTTAAATTAATATCTTTATTGTTGATATTTATCCTATGTTCATGCAATTGCTGACATCTTATGGAAATTTCATTCAGTCGTATAATTTACATGATTTTCTAGGTGTGATTTATTGGTCTAATTTTGTGGAGTGGTGGCACATAGTTGTGATAACTTTCTACATGCATGTGATGATCATGTTCTTAATGTAAACTAAGGCTGTTGCCCTTGCAAGAAACATTTTTCAGGAACTGCAAATAATTTTTTCTAATACATATAGCTATAGGAGATACATCAATACTCATTGACTATTTTCACCAGTTCTATTTACCCCAAGTGTCATATCACTTGTTTGAAACTATTCTCTGGAAGAAAGAAAACAATATATTTCTCCATTTTCATTCATAATGTATTAAATTTGTTTCCCTTGAAATATAAAAATGTTTTCTTTATAACAATACAAGTCAAAATTGAATTACCTCACTTTGTTGCAGGCACAAGTACAAAATAATATTTTAATTTAAAAATAAAGAATTTCAAAGCTTTCTATGGTCTTTTATTTCACTAATATAAAAACAAAAATCATTAACCTGCTTAAAATGTATGGACAATTTTCTTCAAAACAAAATAAAATTGGATTCTTTCCAAAGCTACTCCATTTGTTCTACAAAGTAAATTTTTATTAATTATATTATTTTGCATTTAAGTCAGATTATGTTTCACTTCATTGTGTCACGTCTGCACAAACTGATTAGGAACAAAAATTACAGTGATGGTTTCTGTTGACAAAAATCAGAATGTGTTGAGAATCTGAATGAAATACTAAAATTCCTTATTATGAAAAAAAAAATTTTAAAAAAATTATAATAATATTTTATTTCATTTTAATAATAACTGCAGGTATGCATACATGTGCATTTGCAATCAGTTCTCCACTGACTGATTGTATTTTTGAGGGAGAAAAATACTACAATTAACCATGCTCAAACCAGCATTTTTTGAGGCTTAGATGGTATGAAGAGGTAATAAGGTCAGATGATATGCACATAAAATTTTGGAGTTGTAAATTGTCTGAGGTATAATCTTGAAAAAGAAAAAAAAAAAATCATTAATTCATATATATTAAATATTCTAGTTCTAGGGAGACACAAAATGAAATTAAACTTCGGCAATATTTTAAAAATTGAGAAAGCCAAAAGAAAATCTGCTTTTTCAGAAAATATTGAAATTGTTGAGGCTCTGTGTAAAATATCTTACAAAGTTAAATTTTGCAAGGCCTCATGAGCGGCCAGATCGACCCTAGCAAATCAGTTTCGGAGAAAATCTATTAAGAGTTTAGCCGCTAGTGTTGTCCACCGATGTAATACGTTGTAGACAAGAAAGTAAAAAAAACAACTACAAATCAATCAAAAGGAGTTTGTGATTGAACACCTGTGCGTGGCGAAGACCACTATGGCAAATATGCACTCCACAAATCATGCACCCTACACACAAAATCAAATAATTTGATTTTATATTTATGTCGTCAGTCTGCTTGTCAGTCGGTCAGCCAGCCAGCCAGTCAGTCAGCCAGTCAGTCAGCCAGTCAGCCAGTCAGTCAGCCAGTCAGTCAGCCAGT